GTACTGTAATTAAATTTTTTAATATTTATAACAATATTGTATAAATACAACTAATGATACATTCAATGGTTTTGGAATGTCAAAGACTAGGAAACTATTTTGTTCAAATGATAACTACGATCAAAGTTTCGGTTGGCGAAGGTCACAGTTTCGATCGGAGGTCACAGTATCGACCGATAATTGTATAGGTTTTGGAATATTAGCGAGGCTGCGAAAGTGAGTGCGAGAGTCGAGACAACGTTACGGACTTTGGTGTTGGTGTTAGGGTTATTTAGTGGATTTGATCTTGCTTGGCTAAGAAATGAAACAATAAAATGGGTAATTGGGTCAAAAATTAAAAAATTAGAAATGAAACAAATTATTGAGCCAAAAATTTGGATTTAGAAATCATTAATTTGTTAATTTGTTTAAAAAAATTAAAATAATTTGATTTGCTCAATATAAAAAAAATAAATTAGAAAGATTCGGTTCTTATTCGGTTCTTCGGTTCTAGGTCTAGAACCGAGAACCGAACCGTAACCGTCGGTTCTCAATTCAGATACCCGTTCGGGTATTTAATTTGACAAGAACCGTCGGGTTCGGTTCGGGTTCGGTCGGTTCGGTTCGGGAGATTTGCCCAGCCCTAATAAAAACCAACTTGCAAACAATACACTGCTTTTTAAGTGCAAAGTCTAGAAATAGAAGAATTTAAGCATTCATATATTTTTCCCTATAGCTTTCCCTCTCATAGCGTTAATAGCAAATCTTTCTCTCTTTACAAAACTCACCCTTTCCCAATATAAACCACATCGATGCACTGACTAGTGGAAACATGCATATCCAGTGATGGATAAAACATAACTGTAAAGTACAAATCCTCACAAGACGTTGCAATTACACAATGGACTGCATTGCCATTATGAGTTGATATTAAGGTAGTTTCATATACAATCATTTAATACATTGCCAAAATCGGGAACATAGTAATTAACATGCAAACAATACAATGCATCTTTAGATGCAAAGCCCAGAAATAGAAATGAACATGAATCGATCATGTATAGATAATAAGCACAAGAATATTGAAGCATTTATATATTTTTTCCTTAGAATAAAAGATTCCCTCTCAAACCACTATTTCCATATACGATCTTATGACATATATGTGGCATCTATTAGCGCAAAAACTATTAATAGCAAATCTTACTTTTCTTCACAAAACTCACCCCTTACAAATTAAAACCACGGACTGCATTGCCATTATGAGTTGATATTAAGGTAGTTTCATATACAATCATTTAATACATTGCCAAAATCGGGAACATAGTAATTAACATGCAAACAATACAATGCATCCCAGCAATGTCTAGAACAAGTGAAATCCTCACATGACTTATACATTGCAATAATACAACGGATTGCATTGCCATTATGAGCTGCTATTAAAGCAGTTTCATATGCTACACATTCAATACATTTCAAAATCAGGAACATAGAAATCAACATGCAAACAATACAATACTTCTTTAAGTGCAAAGTCTAGAAATAGAAATGCACATAAATTGATCATATACGATATGCATAAGAATATTAAAGCATCTAAGGATTCATATATTTTTTCCTCAAAATAAAAGTTTCCATCTCAACCCCCTATTTCAGTATACAATCTTATGATGTGCATGTAGCATCTAAGAGCATCTCCACTGGTGGTGTGAAATTGAGTGTAAATTAGTATATTCAAAATCACTTTTGCGAGATGAATCTAAATCCAAATTCGGCTCTATGAAAATCTAAATCCATTTTTTGCCGTGTAAAAAAAATGTAAATTACATCTTCTTTTTTTCTTTTTTTTTTTCTCTACTGGAAAACGCAACTTGCATCTCTCCATTGAAGAGGATCCTGGCCATTTTGGAGATTTAAATTTACACTACCATTAGAGATGCTCAAATAGCACAAAACTATAACCAGCAAATCTTACTTCTATTTATAAAACTCACTCATTCCAATTTAAAACCTCTAAATCGATGCACTGACTAATGGACATGTGAATATCCCTGTAATGCAAATCCTCACGACGTACACCTTGCAATTACGCAATGGACTGCGTTGCCATTATGAACTGATACAAAAAGCAGTTTCACAAGCCACACATCTCATATATATCCAAAATCGGGAACATAGAAATCAACATGCAAACATTGTATTGTTTCTTTAAGTGCAAAATCTAGAAATAGAAATGAACATAAATCAATCATATATAGATAATATGCATAAGAATGTTAAAGCATTTAAGCATTCATATATTTTTTCCCTTAAAATATAAGTCTCCCTCAAACCACTCTTTCCATATAAAATCTTGACGTGCATGAAGCATCTAATAATGCAAAACTATTAATAGCAAATCTTAATTTTCTTTATATAACACACCCTTTGCCACTTAAAACCTCTACACCAATGCACTGACTAATGGACAAGTGCATTTCCAGCAATGGGAAAAGCGAGCGCAAATCCTCACAAGACGTACAATTTGCAATTACACAATGGATTGCATTGCCATTATGATGTGCTAGTAAAGTAGTTTCATATGTCGCACATTTAATACATTCCCAAAATTGGAAACATAGAAATCAACATTCAAACAATAAATTGCTTCTTTAAGGGCAAAGTCGATAAATAGGAAAGAAAATATATCCTCCATATGGATAACATGCATAAGAATATTATAGCATTTAGGCATTCATATTTGTTCACACCAAAATCGTCATTTTTTTAATGAAATGAAGATGAACCAAAAATCATATCAAACAACAAATAAACAAGCCATATTCAACATGATAGAGAGAAAGCAATAAATTTAACTGTACACCACATATAATTTCCTACATCTATTAGCCATATTACATTAATCCTTGTTCAACAAATTCAAAACATTCAAGAAAGGTTACCTAATAATTTAACCAAAAAAGCAATTCATTAATTCACCT